ATACCGGCCGATTTTCTTTACCGTCGCGATGACCCCATAAACCATAATAAGACGTTTTTCCTTTGGCATACACGTTGTGACACCATCTACATTTATATTTCAAACCCTGAAAGTAAAAGAACACCATGTGTTAGCGGTAATATAAGAGATACTAATAGTAAGTAAGAAAAGAATGAAGAAACACACCTTAGGAGTATGAAAGTATGTGAGAAGATCCTTCACGGCGAGAGACCGAGCCTTGTTATAACCAATTTCGCTGGTCCCAACAAACTCAATGTCGGAATCTTGCTCCACATTGAGACCATCTGGCACCTCGAAGGCCTAAGCGAGATAGGATAGTGAACGGATGATCAAATGGTGAAGGGAAGATAGGATAGGTGAACGCGAGATAGGATAGAAATGATTTGAAAAGATAGTAATTAAAATGAATCACCTCAGTGTTGGCTCTCTTCGAAGATGGGGAGGGACTCTGAGAAGGACTGCCTGAAGGGGAACGGGCTCGTTTGCTGGTGGACGAACGCGTCTGGAAATTCAGTAATCGGTCAGTCCTACTTTAAGTTTTGTGAACTGATAGATGTGATAGATGAAAGAGATACTTACCTTTCCTTTGGAAGTAGTCTTGGCACTACCTTTTTTTGGTGGTCTAGGCGACGCAGAACGGAGCGTGAGTGGACCAGGCGATCCGTCTTCAGCAGCTGAAGATACGGTTAGAGACGTCCTCGAGTCATTCGGAGTAATAACAAATCCGGGCTGAGGGCGAACCGGGCTTGCTGGACGAAGGCTGCGAGTGGAGGTCCTACCTGGTACCTCAAGCAATGAACTTTGGGAAAGGCTTGACGTGATTGGCATCAATATTGAATATAAGGGTAAATTGATGGATCAACTTCTTTGGAATTGAAATGGGTTGGATCAAAGAGGAAAAAATTACTTACCGAGTATAAATGTGGCTGATGTATGAACCACAAGGCGGCCGGTGTTGGAAAACTGGTTGGAAAACTGTCCAGGGGGTAGGATTGGTGGTTAGAAGTGAAGTCCAGTCCATTGTATCGGATGTGGCGTTGTTGAGAAGGTGTGGACGCTAGCGTTTAGTGTACAGTACACTACCCCTGCCCTCACCCCTGGGTACAGGGTATTGCTCCGCTATATAGCGGAGCAACCCGAGCCCGGACCCCGGGCTTAGCGTTTGCTGTGCTCATGTTTTTCAGAGCCTCGGAGGGCGGTGCGCAGGCACCACTCTGTATAGCGCTGAGTCTAGCGGCCCCAAAAAGCGCACCGCACACGCTTTTTCGAGCGGAGCGGTTGCGGTATTGGCCCTAGGCAAACCTAACTTATCCCCGTAGGGAGTCCATTAGGTTTCTTGGGGGTGCCCCCCGACCGTGAGGTACCGGGGGGGGTAGGACAACCGGGCCTCCGTAGATGGGATGCTCTTCCCCTCGACTCGGGACATAGTCCTGAGCCTGAGAATCCCCATCTACTATGGGCCGGGTCGACGGTCTCCCCAAGATTTACCAAAAACGGGTTGTGTACCGTGTGGTCACGGTACGGCGAACTAGCCTACTAGGTACTCTCAACTATTGCATTCGCATCACAACGTCATAAGTTGTTGAAGGAGGTAGCGCGTCTCTAGTAAGTCACAATCCGTATATTCTCTAATGTAAAGCTGATAAGCTTTTGATCGCCACCTGCCAATAGCAACAATATCGCTTAGGGGGCAACCTAGGTTCCAACGGAGTGATGCCCCTCTGACCCGAAAGGAATGGCCTGTAAGTTTCGAGTTCGATGATGATTTCCAGACTTTAAGGAAGAGGGTCTGACACCGTGATTTTGTTAGGATATTTCGAGCGGCTTTGAATGGGTATGAGACAAGCGCATCGTCTTCTGTACTCTGAGTGCACTGAATTAGTCGACGAACTGCACTAACTGGGTCGAGTAAGGACTGCTGTTTTTGTAGGTGGAGTTCTTGAATCTCTCCAACCGCTGCTGTCTTGGCTGCACGAATGCAAATGGTGAGGTATTCACCCTTCGGGTCCCATACGATATCTTTCACCCTAACCTGATCGACCGAATTATGGTGCTTCAACAACTCCCCGAGGCGGGCCATACCCCAGAACGCCACTGAGGCAACTGTGTAAGCCGTCTGCTCCTCCAGACTTCCTCCTGTTAAGTGTTCCAGTAGAGAGAACAGATGTCTGACCAGGACCGGGTTCTTTGCCACTTTCTCCTTCTTAATCAATTCTAACTTCTTCGCCGTCGTAAGCATCAGCTCGATCCTAGGAGTCGCGTAATGTGGGTACTGAAAGTCGTGGTAGAGGTGCCAGGCTTTGATTCCTGACAAGTAAGTTCGAATCGTGCTGGATTTAATTGGAGAGTCATCGTCGCTGGTATCGTCGCCTGGTAGCTTTGGTCCAGCCCAAAGTATGAACTGATAGAGCACTTCCGGTTTGATTGGCAGGATAGACAAACGAGGGATATTGAAGAGTTTCGTGAATGTTACGAGTTTTGACACGCCAGCATTGTAGTGTTTGATTGTCGAGGTCGACCAACTACCGTATAAAATATACGCCCTTACTGGATCATAGGTCACTTCAGTTAGACCACGCAAGAATTCCATTCCTAGAAGGTTGTGCCGGATGGGAGTGGTTGATGAGGAACTCTGACACCTACAGGATGATCAAAATCACGCTGTGGTTTGTAAACCACGAAGTCAAGGCCGGGGCACCCGCTCAGCTTTGGTTTACGTGTTCTCACTGCAACAGACTTGATCAGAACAAGATCGAAGGTCAAAATTTTCATTTCAATTGAGAAGCTCGCTAGTAGGCGGGGGCGCTAACTCTCTACCGTGTTCTGGCTTGAAACACCTGTTTCAATACAGGAGACAAATCTGGAGGAACACCGATCACAACACAATCTCCCATAGGGAGTAGCTCTCCGATACCTTGTGAGAGCTCGTCGGCTTTGTTATCTGCAGAGGTCACCCGCTTTGCTATCACGTCACAATGGAGGTCAACAAGGAGGTCTTGGATCTTCTTCCACTCCTCGTTACCGCCTTATCTCTTGAACAATGCTTCAAAACCACACTCTCCGTAGTCGTATTATCTGTGAGTGCTTTGAACCTCTTTCCTCTGACGTCGAACAGCTTGCTGACCACTATCATACCCAACCTTATTGCCACAGTTTCAGCCCAGGCTATACCGCCTCGTTTGGACAGACCCAGGTAGGTCTTCCATCCCTCACGGAGTTTGAACTGGGACCACTTGGAGCCAACCAAGATCCCGATTCCGAAGGATGACGCAGCGTCTCCAACCCACCCAATGTCAGTTACGTCTGGATCTGGGACAAAGCGCCGCACTTCGAAGGAGGCCAGCGTTCGCCTCCACTCTTCCAAATCAACTCTGACATCGTCCGGTAGTCTCCTTGTCGCCGACAGGTGTTTCCATTCAGCCTTCCAACGGTAGAGAGGAGGTAAGTAGCAGCGCAGGTTTGGCACGATGTATGTGGTATTTACCAGCCTCCCTATGAACTTCTTGGTCTCTTTAAACGAGAAAGCTCCGTCGGGTTTCAAGAAGTGGTCTATTTGAGCTCTCCTCATCTCTAGCTTCTCTGTCGGTAGTCGAACTGTCCTATCGGCCACATTCCAAACAAAACCGATGTATCGTTGCTCGTCGGCGAATTCATGTACTTTCTCCTCATTCGAAGCTACGCCCATCGAATCACTTAGAGCAACCACATCTGCAATCGCCGTCTTGTTGTTAATATCTTTTACTAGCAGGTTATCGTCAACCCAACGGAAGCCGGCCTCTAGGTTAAAAACAGATACCACTATCTTCTTCCAAAGGTCCGCCGGTCTACCAAAGACTCCACAACCGGCCACACCGCCGAATTGAACTCTGGTGTCTAACCACAGCCTCCTCTGTAAGTCCATGATAAACAGATATCTCCACTGGGAAGGATGTATAGGTATCTGACTATACGCCTTCTCCCAGTCAAAAATTGCTAGCAGGAACCGACCTTTTGACGTCTTGAAGAATCGTGCGAGTACCTTGAAGTCATCCCAGGTAGTGTCGAAATCCTTTTTATTGACAAAACTGTTGACTGACGGTGTCAGGGTTGAATCTTGTGGATAGGACATATCATTGATCACGCGGAAGGATCCATCACCATTTATCACGCTTCCCATGGGGCTGGAGCGAAAGAAACCTATTTTCTCAAACACTTCTTCATGAGTGAACGGACCAAAAATTCTGCCTTCTCGATGCTCTTTTGCTAAGGTATTCTTTATTTTTTCTGCGGCTACTTGTGCTGATTTATGGTTTTCCGGAGTAAACCACCTTCTGAATCCCAAAGTGTGATTGGGTATTCCTTGATGAAAGCCTGTCAGTAGACCTGCTATCACTTCCTCTGCTTCACCCGTGAGACCACAGTCTTTCGCTAATAACCGCCACTTCGCGATCTCCATGCCGCAGGTAACAGCTTCTCCAGGCCATCTTCCGTCGAACCGTGACCCCGAGTTCTTATACGGTTTCAGCAAATCTTCACTCAAGACTTCCCGAGCCTGCAGAGACACCTCGGAAGTCTCGTCTCTCACAGAATTACCACCCTCATACCCAGTGTCTTCTGACCACCTGGTCCGTTTTTTTATAGTTATCATCACGAAGATGGAAAGGCCAATTGGCTCATGTTAGAACTGTTTTATTCAAGAAATTCGCGGAAATGCATTGCTGCCCTGCTAAATAAGCACAAAAAGATAGATGAAGTGTTTTTTAAAAAGACATGGTCTCTACACGACTGTAGGAACTGTGAAAAAAACATTTGCAATCACACTCTATCTTGTGATAGGAAACAAAAGTTGGTGATCAATGGACAGGTGAGCGGCTTCGTAGGAACAAACGGATTCCAACCGAGCCCCCCGAGGAAAGACAAGCAGGTTGACCTCTCTCCAAGGTAGGTATGCAAAAAACAGGAAACAGGCCCAAAGGCTACAACTGCTAATCTATGGTAGCTCACTTTGCCTTTCCTGAAGGACCTGCGTTATCCCGGTCTTCACCATTTCGGTCTTCTCGACGGTCATCTCTTCTCCAGGAATCATTGTTGCCATTGAAGCAACGACACTGAGGGCTACGATCTCCGTTTCCTTGGTTTCCACCCCAACTACCCCGACGACCTCTAGTCCTAAAATTGCGACCGTTTGGTCGTCGTTCCTCAAAGGTGTTGGACGAGGAACCACCAGGTCCGTCATAGACAGGTAAGGTCGTATAGGATTGCTGGTGAGAGAAGCTCTGGGACCGGTGAGTAGGTTTATTGTATCCAGAACCTCCCGAGTTATTAGCCAATCGGCTGTCAATGCCAGAGATTGGGTCGATGAATGCCTTGGCTTCCCCGTCCGCATAGGGGTTAGTTTCCTTGTAGACAGGCAAGAAATCTTTCAAGCGCTTGGTCTCTCGCATTGCCTCTCGTTCCAAACGATCGTCCCGAATAGCGGGATTGGCCACTGAACCGTCCGGCAATCAAAAGGTCATTACAGCCGTCCTGACAGCCAGGTCGTATCGAAATGCCACAGGCCAGTTGGCGTTTTCTCTCTTGATGGCTAAGACGTTATCTTTGTGCGTTTTGAACCTGGTCGCTAATATACCCCATTTGTAATGCTCTAGGTATGCAACAAATAAATCGAAAGCTACCACCCATTCCCCAAAGGTCATTTTCCATTCCAAGGGAACTGGCAGACCAACGTAGGTGTTTTCTAGCTTTTCTTTCACCGTTTTCGGGCGGATCGTTTGTTGGAGAAGGTCCTGACGTAACCATTGAGGGTTAAACACAGACACCGGAATATAGGCGTCAAGGGTAGTCATTTTTGACCCAAAGTACTTGGACAAGGCGACTAAGCCGTGGGCTTCTATGCCTTCGTCACTAAACCTAATAGTGCTCGTCGTGGTAGTTGCTTTCTCGGCTGTGGGGGATTCATCGTCGGCAGTGAGGTCAAAAACTTCTTCCGGAGGAGCACGCTTCTTACTCGCCGCGACAGTAGCTACTTGCGCCCCATCGACATGGTTCTGAGTGGTTGTGGCAGAGGTAGCAGCAGGTGCAGGACCAGTCGAGGTCACTGGGGGACAGACCACCTGATCCTGGGGAGCGGGAGTGGTCTTTGTCGTGGTCGAGCTGGAACGTGATTCGACCCTGGAAGCAGGTTGGTTGACTGCACCTGTCTTGACCGCCTCTTTCGCCGCCGATGTGGGGCACGTAGGGACCAGAGAGTAACCCTTAGACTGTAACCATTCTCGAGTAGTGTCGGGAGAGCATTCGTCAATCCTACTGAGGATGGCGTTGGTGCCCGCCAAGAACTTGGCTTGGGCCACATTGTTCGACGCGTTCGCAGCCGCTAGAGAGGACACGTAAAGGCATCAAGGTATGTGTTAGTCTCAATGGCTATCAAATTCATCTTATCTAGGCATCACCTTGTAGTGGCATCACGCGGTGTGGCTTTGCTCTTTGCGGCATCACCGTAGTGGAGAATGAGATATGGCTTACAAGCAGCGTTGCTGACGCTTCCTCTGTCAAGCAGCGTTGCTGACGCTTCCTCTGTTGAGAACCTCTGGGGCTATAAGTGGGGCCGTTTGTCCCACCGGATTGCCACCGTTGACCGGATTCGATAGTAAGACCGTGGTGGGGGTTGGAGCACTGGTAGGAGCGAGAGTACTGGCAGGAGCCGTGGCGGCAGTGCCTGCCGTAGTAGCAGATGCACCTTCCGGAGAGACCATACTGTTGGCGTCCAAATTGGTAGATATTCCTTGAGACACTCCTTGAGAGCCTTGATCTTTTACTGATGAGCCTGCTGCCGTATCCTCCGCAGATGATTGTCCCTCTGCTGTGGTGGCGTAACTGGAGGTGTTAGGACCAGGTTGACTGCCAGTAGGGTTAGACGCCTTCTTTCCCTTCGAGCCTTTACAACCTGCCGGACCTGGTGTGTTTGTATTAGCATTTGCCGTCATGGGGCCATCCGCAGTTGAGCCAGCGGCATCGGTATTGGCATCTCCAGGTTGGTCAGTTGGTGAGGCAGAATTTCCACGGATTCTGTCACTGGATCTCTTTACAATAGCGTTAAACTGGTTGATATCACTCGGGGTAGACATATTGTTTCGTTAAGAATGAGCGGTTGAATATTCAGGTTGAATATTATGATGAAAGGATTGGAGTGAGTGTATTATGCAAAGTAATGAAGAAAACGTTTCTACTCAGAAAAAGGCTCTGCAGAGGAGCGAGTGAGATAATCGACAAGAAGTGACTTGACGCTTGTGAGAGATTCAGTGAGGGAAAAAAGTTGGCGATAGTCAGGAATGGGCAATGGGAATTTTCCCCTTGGACCCTGACTATATGCGCCCATTTTTTTTACAGGAATCCTCGACATAAGGATATCCACGTGACACACTCTCTTGCCATCCCTATGCTTGTACGTGGAAATCGATGGTACCGTCGTGCCTTTGGGTACCATCTACCATTTGAAGAGTAATGTACGCATACCTATGATTAGAGACCAATTTGACGACCTTGAAAGCATCACCCGACTCGCTTGTGCCATCGACAACGATCTGCGAGGCGACATTGTGGACCCGGCAACCATATCACGACAATCGGACCCAGATGCCATGGATATCTCTTCAGCCCGTTTCGACATATCAGCCGACGAGTATCATAGACGAGCTGAAAATCAATTGTGTTACAAGTGTGGGAAGCCAAATCATATGGCCCGTTGGTGTGGTGCGAGAGGTCGTGAGAATGGAAAGGGGAAAGGTGGTGTTGGTAGAGGCAAGATAGCTGAACTAGAGGCAAAGATAGCTGCATTACAAAGTGGGATGGGAGCAAACTCAGGAGCTTCTACATCTGCGGCGGATCAATCAAAAAATGGTGCCGCTTGGGAGTGATGGATGTGCCACCACCGGGCTTAAGCAGGGAGGAGTTAGTAAAGGAAACAGATGCTTTAATTTTGAATGCAAAGAAAACATTAGACCCCCGTGCGTTTACCACTATTCCCTTGTCCCAAACCCCCTGCGCCACGTCCCCCAACCCAGACAGTACTACCGCCCATGCCCTGATCGACTGTGGGTCCACCCACGTAGTCCTGGGCAAAAAATTTGCCAGTCGTAGTGGCCTACCAGTCAAAGACTTGAAAGCAGTCGGTGAAGTGTATGGCTTCAACAGTGCACCCCAAACAGTCAACCAAGATGCTGACCTATTTATTGATGAAGATGAATCAAAGACAAAGTTTTTAGTCACTCAGATTAAAGACTCTTACGATGCCATCCTCGGCATGCCTTGGCTGCGCAAGAATGGCCAGCGGATTGATTGGAAGAATGGAACATTAAGGCCAAAGAACTTACCTCACCACATTGCGGCCATTGAACTGGCTTCATCCAACCCAAAAACCACCCCACCTGAACCTAAGGCCCACATGGGGAACACAAGGGACAGTGACGAGGGGGCCGTTAGTTTATCTAACACCATGCCCCCGCGATGTGAGTACCCCAATCTTTCTGAACCGCTAGGCTGTGAAACAATGAGCAAGCAATTACAATTACTACCACAGACACCGAAGACCCAAGAAAAACTCACCTCAAGGCCTGAAGACCAACGAGATGTACAAGACCCATGCCAGTCAAGCACCATAGATGACCGCATCACAGCCATAACGCAGGCTTTGTCCAACCCGAAAAACACCCCACCAGGACCTAAGGCCCAAATGGGGATCACGAGGGACAGTGACGAGGGTTAGGGTTAGGGTTAGGTAGAAGTTCGACTACAGAACATTGTCAATATCCAAAATGAGCTGAAAGAGAACTTACAAAGAGCACAGGAGACGATGAAGCAGGACTACAATCAAGGACGCCGCCCAACACCTGACTGGAATATTGGCGACAAGGTATGGCTCAACAGCCGTCACATCTCCACCACAAGACCATCCGCAAAACTTGATCACCGGTGGTTAGGCCCGTTCACAATCGAAAAGAAGGTGTCCACATCGGCCTACAGATTAAGATTACCATTGACGATGAGTAGAATCCACCCTGTCTTCCACGTATCCGTATTAAAGAAGAACTCACCAGATCCGATAGAAGAGAGACAGCAGCCTTCCCCATATCCAATAGAGATCGACGGTGAGGAAGAATGGGAGGTCGAGGCGATATTAGACAAGCAAATAAGAAGACACAAGATTGAATACTTGATGAGCTGGAAGGGGTACGGTCAAGCGGAGGACTCATGGGAGCCAGAGGGTGATGTGATCAATGCGAAGGAAATGATTGACACATTTAATTTAAGGTTTCCCAACGCAGCAGAAGATCATAGAAGAACTAGGCGTATGTAAGAGGGGTGAAGCTTTTTCCCACCGGGTTTTTTAATGAAAGCCCCGGGGAAGTACACAGGGCCGCGAACAGGGAGCCTGGGCGTAGGGGGGGGATAGTGTTATGATCCTACTTCACGGGTCACGGGTCACGGGATGTCACAATGTGCGACAGTCACACATCAGATCTCACTATACCAGAACTCCCGTTGTACATTGCTTTGCTCCTCACGCTACAATACTCATACCAAGCATAGATCACCCTTCCCTCCGTCCCACGTTCCCAAGACCCCGTAGCCGGTCATAAAATAAATAGGTACAACATTCAAATAATTTCAAAAGATTTAGGTATCAATTGGTGTCGTGATCATTTACAGCGAGGGCGCATGACAGTAGATCAGGTGGTAGATTTATTACTGGAAGCAATTGAGGGTGAAGATCGGAACGCAGGATATCAGACTATGCAGCAAAACCTTGCCACAAATCACCACATTAGGATTAATCGTGATACATTTTACCAGCTGATGCAGGTCATTGATCCTGAAGGGATGGAACTACGCCGCCGAGGAGTTCTCAAGCGAAGAATATCTCATGTGCCAGGGCCAAATCACTTATGGGCCAGTGATGGCCATGATAAACTCAAGCCTTATGGGATATGTATTTATGGCTTTATTGATACATGGTCAAGGAAGGTTTTGAGTCTTTGAGTTGGACAAACAAACAACAACCCACGCGTAGTTGGTTTATATTTCCTAGAGCTTGTCTCCACTGTTGGAGGATTCCCAGTGAAAACTTCAACTGATCACGGAACCGAAACTGGTGATATGGCTACATTTCAAGCATTGTTTATGTGCGTGGCTGAGATGATGGTACCTAACAATGTAGTGCTCAACGTTTAGCACCCTTCTCCAACACACAGGTATGCAGACCTGGGAAAACTAACCTAAGTATTATGGAGGGAACGTTAAAGGAAAAGTGAGAAAAAGATTGTAAGCTTTATGAAGCTCGTGATGAAGTTGATCTACCGGAATTTCTCTTTCCAACAGATAAGATTTTATTTCTAACTAACCTAACAATGTAGTGCTCAACGTTTAGCACCCTTCTCCAACACACAGGTATGCAGACCTGGGAAAACTAACCTGCACACAATAAAAGAGGAAAAGATAAACACCACAATCAACGGTAAACAAGAATTAAGTAAGATAATAAAGTACCTAAGTTTTATGGAGGGAACGTTAAAGGAAAAGTGAGAAAAAGATTGTAAGCTTTATGAAGCTCGTGATGAAGTTGATCTACCGGAATTCTAACATCAATAGTTATCAGTGAAATGATCTAATGTGAGAAAGGTATTGAGGTACTTACTCTCTTTCCAACAGATGAGGAAAAGAGAGTAAGACGAACAGGGAACACAACTATATATCTAAGCAGCGACTACACAAACTGCACTGCAAACATTATTCAACTTCCCCAAGTGGGCAGGAAAAAGTGACTGGGAGTATGATTTGTCATAAAATGATCTATCACTCCACACCTGAGCCATAACACCCACACTACATATGTGTAGCAGGCTCAGTGAATATGTGGTTATCATGTACATACAGTTCTGCTCAGTTATCTGCTCATCAAGATGAGTTATTCATATGTAATACATGCTGTAACTTTTTTGAGATCAAAAAAAGCATTCCAAAGATTGACTACATACACTGACTCAACATTTTGGTGTAATCTCATCAACTCAACTGCATCACCACCAACATATTTACCTCTGATTACAAAATCCGAGGTATCCTCGGATGCAAAACCTCGGACAGAAGCTTCCCGAGGTTTTGATCCGAGGTAATTCTCAGGGCAAAAAAATACCTTGGGCAAAAACCTCGGACAAGGTTTGTCCGAGGATTTGCCTCCGATGATGCCTCGGATTTCTCAACCCGAGGCATCTATGCTGGCAGTGCATGTAACACCCTTTCTGTTACTAAGAAATAGCTTCAACAGTATTGCCTGAGCACCTACAGAATTATATGTAGTGAATTTTGGGCACAATTTTTTCAAAGTCAAAAAAGTTACATGTGGTATAACATGTGATTTATTTTTGCTGGTGTGCAAAAAACTGAGCAGACCTGTATGTACATGATAGCCAACTATTGACTTAGCTTGCTGCACATATGTAGTGTGGGTGAAATGGCTCAGGTGTGCAGTATTAGATTCTTTTATGACAAACTGTACTATTAATCATTTTCCTCTAACAATTTGGGGAAGTTGAATGATGTTTACAGTGCTGTTTGGGGTTACTCAACTCTAATATTCAATGGGAAAGATGAGCGATAAGATAACAAGTTTGCTTCTGATATTAGACAACAATCGAAAGAAACCATAACACCACTCTACCCTAATCAACCTGTCTTGATTGTATTTTGACAGTTTACACATATCTATGCTGGTGAGCCCATTGAAGACGCATTGAAGCATCACCACTACACCACTTCTACTCACAATCAAAAAATTGAGTTGCTTTGGGCCCAGCTAATGCGAGGAAAGAATACAACTCTACGTGATGATATCAAACTGGCCATTGATAACGGGATGTATAATCCAAAGGATCCACTTCAGAAGTAAGTATTTAACACCGACTTCAGCCTTTTTTCATTGATGTTGCCTTGCTAACATGAACATGATTTGAAATTGTGTGTGCAGGGCTTTGTTTTTACACCTCTGGATACCGTTAGTTCAACATGTGACGAATTCATTCATGGAAAGGAAGAACACTTACCGAAATTGCAGAAATCCAAATTCACACCT